AAACAACAATAATAAAGTCAAACATTCAAAGATTAAAATATGATTTAATAAATAAAAGCTAAAGTATAACAAATAATAATTCTTAACAAGACATTATCAAAAGACATTACATGAACACTATATCATGCACAAGGAAAGAATACTGGACGGATTTTACCAACAATTCTAATAATTCACATTTTACCCAATAGAGCTCTGACTTTCCATGTGTGAACACATTCAAATAAATTTGTTTGAGCAATTCTGTAACAAAGTTAATATGCAAACAATAAACATCAGTACCTTACAGTATAATATGGTTAAAACTTTTAATCTAACTCATTCATATTGCTATTTTCAAAGCTGCACTCAATTTGGAAATGGTTGTAGTTCTTAATTATTGGAAGAAATTATTGATATGATATAGTAAGCTTTTGTAGTTATTATACTTAAAATTTAAAAGCAATGGTCATTGTAAAAGTTGGATGACGATACCTTTTTTAAAAGGGAAATAACTGTTACAGAACTTAAAATTCTGAAACACGAGAAAAAGCACTGCTTTAAAAGTATAACAGTATTTGGTATATCATAAATATATATTTGTTATGCATTATCAGTGTATATAAATAGCCCAAACAAATTTACAATAAAACTTTCGAAGATGTGCTGTTAAAGTATAATCTTTTGTGTATTTTATTTCGGGTAGAAATCTGAAAATTTCAGTACTATAAAAATAAAATTTGGTGATTTAGCTTTCCATTAGTCCTTACTGCTATAAAAACTCCTTCCCCAAAACAAAAACACAAAATTAACTACTTTAACAGCTTTTATTTTCTGAGCTCTTTCTGTGAGGGTGCACTCCAATACACAACCTGTTTTAAACGATGAAAGTTTGGTTAAATTAAAACATGGAAATACATTTGTTTAGATGTTGTTTGGACATGGAATTATTAGAACCATTTTACAATGTTTGTGTTTAAAATTAACTGTAAATAAGATACAATACAAACAAATAGCTTCATTAATATTCAACATTTTTGAATACTTCTGATTTTTGTTCTGGTTTAGTTAGCCATACCAAATACATTGTACAAAGTTAAATTTATGAAACTATTTTTAACAAAAACTATGAAGACAGTCAAACATATTATTTCGATTTATATTTTATGATTAAATTCAACCCAAATTAAACATTCCCCCATTGAATAATATGTAAGAATGATTACGATATAAGAAAATGATATGATAATGTAAAGGAATAAATGAATGATTCAAGTGTTTTAAAAATATTTAGATTTAATGGAATAGTATTTAATAGTTAATTTAATATCAAAGTTACTGGCTACTCAAATCCTACATCAATAAATTCAGAATTGAAATTATTTGTCAGGAGATTTTTCAATGGGATCAAATAGAATTAAATAAAATTGAAAGCTAAGTATCAGTTAATACGTGATTCTCTGAAGAAAAATAAATATAAAATATTAAGAAAGGTAGGAACAGGTGACATAAATAATAAAAGGAAGAAATAAAAATTAAACGGTATAAACTAGAAATATGCACAATTCCTAAATAGGCACCCCAGATAAATAATTTTTAAGTGCTGTGTGTACCTACTGCTTCTTTCATTTTCTAAGCTTCCTAAAGAATCTGTTGAAGCATAATATCTTTAAAGATGTTAGATAAGTATTTAAAATAAAAATATCTTATCCTGTGAAGTAATCCCACATTTACGTAATAATGTCAGAGTCATTCACTAGGGTCAACATTTTTTTGTTTTTCCTCTCATTGTACAACCTCTGAATGTTTATGAAATCATAATGAAATACAACTTGACGAAATACAATTAATAGTTCGATTGTTGAAAATAAATAATGGGATCCTTAAAATATCTTTATACTTTCTGAATTTTTTAAACCATGGTCATATCATATCAGTTTCCCCCAAAACAAAATGCAAAGTATGCATTATAATTTAAATAAGTGTAGGGCAATTCACATTACAAATGTATATCTATGGCAATTTGGTGGATAATAAAGTTTCATTCTAATTGTCCTTTTAGCACAAAGGAATTAAGCAATGCTATTCAAAATATTTTTGTGTATTTAGATACATAGGTGTTCTTCTGTTTGATTGATCACAAAAACCGGTTAGAAAATTGTAGGAACCTGGAATTACTTTCAATAAGCTTTCCAACTCCATAGGTTGATCTTTATTTTACTTGGTTGATATATAATACTTAACTGTTAATAAGAGATCCTCCACTTTTTTTCTCCCCACGATCCAATTTAGTTTGTTTATATTTAGAAAAAGCTTGTATTTTGTCTATATCATGTTGCTTTGATTTTATGGCTTTTCTAATGCTAGACATTAACTGATAAGTTTTGACAGTTTCAATGAAGAATATGAATATTATGCTGTACACTCCTTGTCTTTTATAATGATGTACCCTGTGAATTATTTTACATAGATGATCTTTTTATACTGTGATCATGAATTGAACTGGCAAATAGCTTAAATACCAATCTAAACATATTTGCTATTAATCACATTAAAAATCCTATGAAATAAATAGCATAATGTTCTGGCACTTTAAATAATCTGTCTAGCTAATATAGCTATTCAAATAAAAATTTCAGTTTAAAAATAATGATTTTGCTTAAAAAATTGTCATACTTGGCAAATATATCTATAAATACAAGTGATGCAATCTAGCAAAAAGAAATCCAAATCAATTCAAAAACTCAGGCATGAAACATGCATATATTAATTAAAAAGACAAAACTGATTTAAAAAAAAAAGATGTTGTTGCTTTTATAAATCAATACTGATTATCTAAATTTTGTGGGTTGTTTTTAATACTGAAATTGAGCCTTAACCAACAATATTTGTGCTATAATAGAAAACAAGTATAAATTTTCTGGTTCTGTGTCAATCTTTTCCTTCACCAGTGCCTAGTTCCGATGATTCACGAATGGATATAGTAAGTCCTGTGAAGAAATAATATGGTGTTAACAAAAAAACATAAAAATTCTATTTGATTAGACTTGTTGCTTGATCTTCATTTACTATACCAATGATTTATACAAGGGAGATAATAATCCATTTTTTCAATCTTTTTTTCAGTTTTTGAATGAATGAAATAAATTTCCTTACCACTTTATCATTAAAAGCAGAATTAAATACAAGAAATCAAACTTTAGTAATTTATAACGTAAAAAACAAACAGAAAAAATTAGTATCAAAATCATCACTACAAAAACCACTCGCATGTATCAAGCAAAAAATCAGATCAATATGGTAAATAAATACTAAATTTTCTATCCCTGAAGTGTATTACAACTTTCATTAGCCAATGATAATGTCCTAGCAAGTCAATTTTATTCATTTAACTTGTTATTAATAAAAATGTGAAAAACAAGAAATTGTTTTTTTCCATTTAAGCTTTAACAACAGTATCACAATCTATATCAAAATAATGCATCAAAAAGGAGATTTGGGGTGTTTGAATTGAGAAACAAAACATCACAAAAACAAAATGGCAGAATTTATGAACATATTTTTGTCATCATATTAGATATTTTTTCAGCATAATTCATGTCATATGGGCTATTTCAGAAACAACCAAACTGGATAGTCAGAAGGCACTTCCACAAGAATATTAAGGGTGGTAGATTATGTATACATTTGTAGTTTCGAGGTATCAGATGACTACAAATTAAAAAACAAAATTCTATTAACAGGACATAACTGATTATAACAACAAATTGTCTGTTGTTTTTTTAATCAATACTGATTGTTTAATTCATTAAAATATTTCTTGTGGAACTTAGCAAGAGGTGCCTCATAACATCCAGTAAATTTATTTCTAAAATAGCCAGTTTAGTTAGCTGTAATGCACTTCTTAATGACTAATGATCTGTAATGCATGCATAAACTACATTCTACTAAAATTCTACAAATGCTGAAAATAATATATTCGCATGAAAACTATTCAAAGATGCTGCACCATAACTTAGCATTTCTTCTATTAGTATAAATGTTTTATCTTTTTATTATTAAGTCTATATACTGGTATGTTTGGTGGGCAAGGTTAGAGGTAATGAACAATTTTAAGAAATTCCATTGAACCATTAATGTTATCTCAAAGGTCCCTAAACCATGAAGTTTACAATGTATTAGTACACAATGTAGTATAATATACTGTTAAATTTATTTGTAGGTATAATTTTTTGTTGTGTGGAGAGAAAGTTGCTGTTTCAAGCATTTTGTTTTAAAATTTTGTGCTCCTTTAATTTACTGGAGTACCTAAATCCATGGTTTGTACCAAAGAAAAACAAAAATGAACCAAAGAAAAACAAAAATGAAGACTAGCAAATTCAAGGTAAAAATCAAGAAGGTTAGATAATTTATCACTGCCCAAAGACACATGAGTAGATAAAGTGATTTCAACCATCTATAATCAAACAGTTACATTGGTTTTAGTATTACAATATGTTGTATTTATGAGTCAAAATATTGTCTATAAAAGAAACATCATACACTAGAAAACTACATCTGGATTTCTAATCTTATTTCCTTTGGTTACTGTTACTTATGATTATATGATTACAGATAAGTTGAAATTCAAAGTTATTTTGTTCACCTTATGCTAACTAGCAAAATGCAAAGAAATATTAATTCTAATTTGAGATGAAAACAAGATTTCCATGGAAAAGACACTAAAGAAATGTTAACCCCTCCAAAAGGAAAAAAGTAAGCACAAAGAGGTGGTGTAAGAGTATCTTCTATAAATGTTTAGGGAATTACAGTTAAAATAAATTATTAATTTCTTATATATTAAGCAATTTTTTCAAGTTTATTAGCTCTATTAAAGTTATTTCTACTCTGTGACACAGTATTGTTCAATTACATGTTAAAATTGTTAGCAAAGTTAGACCCAATACATAAACCATCTATAAGGCCCCTTTCCCTCGTCAGAACATTAAAAACATCTTCCTAGAAGATACTATTCTAGAGACCTTTCTTTTGCCGTAGTCTGCTGCTACATTCCCTGACTTTGTACGTATTGGAGCTCCAGCACCTGGCTTTCCCCATGGCTGAAATTCTCCTGTAGTTGTTGAGTCAGCTGAAAAACAGGCATTAATCTTAGAATATGCTAGTAATAAATTCCTTGCATTATTTTTTTTCTAAATGATTCAAATTTCTTTAATAATGCTTTGGTATGTTATTTGCTCATTGTTGAAGGCTGTACAGGATATACTGTAGTTGTTTATATCCTCGTCCTTCGGTTTCTAGTAACTTTACATTACCTTGGTTTCTATCTGGATGGAAACCCTTTTTATTTAAAACTATGGAATCACAACGTTAGAAAATTGGTCATATCATAAAATCATACCACATCTCCTAATTTTTATATCAAAGAGGAAAATCTGTCAACAGATGATAAAAGTAATTTAAGAATTGAAAAAAATAGATGAAGAGAACATTTTTCATATAAAACATAATTCTTTATGTATTATTGATCCCATGATAATGATGTTAAGATTAGAGGATTAATCATGGGTCTTAGTGACTCATGTTATGGAAGAATCATGAGTCCAAACAAGAAAAGTTTGTGTCAAGGACCCATGAAGTTGAGTGCACAAGAACTCTGTTGACAAAAAGAATTTCAGAAGGCAATTCTTGAAGAACAAAGTATGGTCAGTATTTTTTACCTATTTAAAAAGTCAAAATTTTGACCACTTTAACTTCACATGTATCAGTTCAGTTCTGTTCTGTCTAAAGTGAATTCCCAGAATGTTAAAGCTAGATTATACAACCCTTACTTTTAAGTAAAAGTTCTCACCTCTTTCTCTTTCCCACTGTCTTCTTTTCAATTCTCCTAGACTTGTTTTGGCATTAGTGGGACCGGGCGGAGGCAAACTTGATGTTTTCAGACTAGAACCTCGATCGGAGTCTGAAATTCTATCATCATCTCGTCTATGATAATCATCCCGGGATTCCCGGCGATAATCTTCTTTTTTGAAATTTTTATTTAACGACTTTAATTCTAAATCTTGAAAATTTCTTCTCTTTTCCTCCTCTTCTTTTCTATAATAAAACAAATAAACCATTTCAAAATAAGTGAGTTTTATCAATCAATAATTAAACAGAGAAGTTAACCAAATTGATACTTTCAGTTTTGATATACATTGTACTTTAAGTTTCTAGTTATATTCACTTTGAAACTACAGTTTACTGCTATTTTTGCAAATGTTTACATATATACATCTGTTAAGTTGCATTTACACCAGTTACAGAATCAGTTTAGGAATTAGATATAAAATTAAGATTACACAATATTGACATCTTAATACTTTGACAGGTAAAATGAAATCCCTAAAAAATTACAGTAATCAAATCTGTTTCTAAATAATCTAGAAAATAATTAAATGAATGTAAAACAAGTTCAGATAAAACATCAAGAAATAAAACATAATTTTATGATGAATAAGATTTTTAGTGTGTGAAGGCAGTGGGAATTGAAATGTTATGAAAATCTTATTAGCAGTTACACACATTGTAAAATAGAGTTATGACAATAGAAAACAGTTATAATTACAAATGTAATGTGAACTACAGTTAAAATCAAAATTACAACGAAAGTACAGTTATTGTTATTATATGGCTCTCTTTACGTTAAAGGAAGTGCATTAAAACTATAGTACAAAAACCTTTTAAAAAGTTATCTCACGATCGAAATAACAGAAAAATAACACTAATTCAATTTTGTTTATAGTGGTCTGATGCATGATATCCAATCTGTCCTGTAATTAAACTGTATTTATAAAAGTAAAAGATGTAAGATTTTCATAAAATGTTTTAAGATTTCCAGAATTATGGCGTATTACATGTATTATGCATATGGCAGATCATAAAATTATAATTTGATAAATAATTCAACAAAGAAATGACAAACTAAATGAAACAAGGATATGAAAAGTCACAATTAATCTAATTTTCAAAAGATTATTTTAGACAAATAGAAATTTATCACTGTTGAAAGCTAACTATCACTTATCAGTACTAATATCTAACAGAAACTTCTTGAAAATCTCAATCGATCACAACATCCTAGTCACATGCACATGTGTATAAAAGGATCTAACAGTGTACCAAGTTTCATCTTAGAGTAGCTGATAAAGTATTGAATTGACATGGGTCAGAAGGTTCAAAGAAGCAGAACTGAGGAAAAATACAAGGTTGTAAAATTGTACCACGTTACTTGGAGATTCAGAGTTGCAATGACAAAGCAGCCACTGAAAAGATGACGGTTCATAATTTTGATCAGCCAAAAAAAAATTAAAAAATCCTGCTGTGATGATGTTTGCAAATCTATTATTCAACAAAGTTTGAAGGGTGTCGAGAAAGAACAAAGAGGCTGATTTAGATAAGTAGGTTACTCCTCCATATTATCAAAACTTTCTTGCAAAGCAACCTAAGGGGTATATTTAATCAATATTAGTATGAACAAATAACCTTCAAACAAAACTTCAGTTTGTAGCATCAGGAACATGTGCAACAAGTGAGTACAGAGGAGATGATATAAACGATTTATATTTAGCCAAAAATAATTTATTAGAACACATTGTCAAAATCTGATGATTTTAATAAACAGCTTCCTTAATCTCTCCTCCATTAACTTGTTTTACCTGGTTTCATCTGCCATAACTTTTTCTCTTGCTATCATTAACCTCCTTCTTTCTGCTTTTGTCATGTGTTTCCAAGGCAATGTGACAGGTATTCCTGCTATTTCCCTTGGTGAAGGAGGGTTCTCCTCTTTGGGTTTTTCACTTTTATGATCATCCCTATCTGGTGTATGTTTCCTATGTCTTCCTTCTGAAGAATCTCGTCTATATCTGTCATCAGGGGAATGTCTTCTTTCCCGAGATCGGTTATCATGTGAATGTCTGTGTCTTTCATCTGGAGAATGTCTACGTCTTTCTCTAGATCTGTTTTCCGGTGAATGTCTTCGTCTTTCCCGTGAAGGTGTCCTGTATCTCTCTCTACTTGGAGTTCGACTTCGCCGTCTTTCTCTCGAATCTCTACGATATCGATCACTAGAATGTTTTCTATGTCTATCACTTGAATGATCTCTGTAACGTTCACTAGAATTATTTCTATATTCTCGATCACCAGAATGTTTTCTGTGGTGATCTCTTTCACCTGAATGTTTTCTAGATCTATATCTATCCCCTGAGTCAGATCTTTCTGGAGTTCTGTCACGTCTGTCTCTCCTTCTATCATCATTATCTCTACTGTTTCAAAAAGACCAAGACTTTTAAATGTACTGAACTTTAATAGTGATAATGTACAATAAATCATAACTTAGCTAATATATGAAATTAAAACATCTATGTTCTACATTATCTTAAACAAATTTTGAAGCATTCTGGATGTTCTCTCATTTTTAAATATTTGTTAAAGCAGGTCTGTGAAAGAAATGGAACAATTTTATCAAGTTACAATACCTTCATAATAGCAGTAATATGTAAAATGGAAATTTATATATGAGAAACAATTATTATAATATGTCAGAAATTGTTTTTTAAACCATTACAGTGATTTTCACTTCAAATATTTCAGTTTTATGAAGGTCTTTTCTGATTGTAGAAGTTTTATTCATTAGTGTAAGTGAAAGGTTTTGGCATTTTACTAGCTCATCCTATTCAGTACATATCTTATGTCAGATTTCAAATTTCTAGTTCTAATAAATATCCTTTTTAATGTTTACCTGGACTTTTTATTGTCATCAACCAAAGCAAATATACTTTGGTCTTCATCTTTCTTCTTTCTATCTCTATGCCTACGTCTGTGTTCTCCCTCTCCTTCTCTACCCGGTGATTCTACTTTTATCACATGTTTATCTGCATCTAATGGAAAGAAAAAACAAAACAGATATGATAGTATAGATTAAAAAATATACCTGTCCTCCATATTTCATCAATTAAAGTCCCATAACTCCAGAACAACACATTATTCAAAAGTTAAAAGGTTGGTATCTTTTATTGGTTGTAAGATTGCAATAAAATTTCATGAAATTAGGCAAAGAATTTGTGAAAGAAACAAAATATTTTTTTTTATTTCATTTTGATGTACAGTTTAACTGTTCTGGAAATACACTTTGAAAATTCATTAAAATTTGTAAATGTTGGTATGTACTCATAATTGTCAATTTTTTAATGATTAAAAGCCAAATAACTCTGAGTTTAAACATCTGAAAATCACCAAAAGAGATCAAGTCCTTAAAGAATTAAAAAATAGGTAAATTGTTTGTATAGATCTCTTAAATCAAGCCTAATTCATACCAAGATGCTCCAAATTATCAAACTTTTAACCATTGAAAGTTGACATCCCATAACTTTGGAACACCTATTCTAAAAGGGATAAATATCAAAAGGTAGCTTGTCTTTATGAAACCAATCTTTTTGTTAGTATTTCAGTATAAATCCAATAAAGCAAACTTGAATAAATGAACTATGAAGAGAAATTCTCCAATTTTGCCTCATTAATTATAAATAAAGACCCATAATACTGGAGTCCCAAAGCTAAAAATCATCAATTTCAAACTAAAGCTTGTCTTTATAAATCAAAATATTATGTAACAAGAATGTGTCCATAGTACACGGATGCCCCACACACACTATCATTTTCTATGTTCAGTGGACCGTGAAATTGGGGTCAAAACTCTAATTTGGCATTAAAATTAGAGGGAACATGTGTACTAAGTTTCAAGTTGATTGGACTTCAACTTCATCAAAAACTACCTGGACCAAAATCTTTAACCTGAAGCAGGACAGACGAACGGACGCAGAGACCAGAAAACATAATGCCCCTACTACTATCGTAGGTGGAGCATAAAAATTATGTAGTGATCAATTAAAGTTACCGCAGAACATGCTCAGAGATGACAAATTTGGAAGGAAAGAATTCCTCCTTCACCTAAATTTTTGTTTCCGAACATTATAAAAACAAACAACCTGTATTGCTGTAATTGTTGATAAAACCTACCCATTGATATACGAAGTGTATCTTCTCTCCCTGAGGCAACTTTTCCAACTGAAGCTAGGATGGCATTCAGTTGCTCCTGTGTGAGTGTGACAAGATTGCCATTTTCTTTATTTTTAGTTTTCTTGCCCATTGTTTCTCTGTTTCTTTTGATAAAATTTTTCGCTGGTTTCTTGGGTTTTTCTTCCTCTGGCTGTTCTACTGGTTGAAGTAAATTGTCAGAGTCTGCTGTCATGTCAGTAGGATACTGTCGTAAGTTGAATCTCTGGTCACGACTTTTGTAACCAAACTATACAAAAGAAAAAGAATAAGTGTGATAATAAAAAAAAAAAGCTGCAAATGCCACTCAGGAAGTCTATCATTATATCATAACAACATTTTATTGTGAATTCAAGCCTCTTTGTGCACATGTTATACATTTTAGATTAAAATACAAACTACTATATTGTACTACAAGTAAAACAATAAATAACACTATTATAAATAAGAGGTTATAAATATGGTGCCATCTAGATGTTCATTCATATTTAATTTTGCTGTGTGACTGTCCTGATGTTTAACCCCAAATACCTCTTATTAAATGTATGTACATGTATATAGTACACAGTGTATGTGTATGTATCATCACCCTTCATCCTAACAAATTTATCTTAAAACATTACTGTATACATTGTATATAACTTACCTTTCTTTCTTGCTTCTTTGATTGTTCTACAATTATAGAGAAATTTAACTCAAAATAAAAAATATTGATACAATTTCAGTATCTAATAATGTATTCACTGATAATTCTTATTTGCATATCAACAAATACTTGAATCAGATTAATCCGTTCGGGATTTTTCGTTTGGGTTTACACTTCGATAAACCAGGTTGCAGAAACTACTTTCGTAACCTTCACTGTGATCTATTCATGAGCGATATACATGCATGGGATCCAGGGGTTCTTAGCAAAGTGAGATTAAAAAACAAATACGTAACTGTTATTTCTTTTTTTTAACGCATGGCAAAAAGAAATAATGCATTTATAAAGCTTGGAAAATGCATGAAATTGAAATAAAATCTAATTCAGCGAAATATGATGATTTTGGCGCCTTAACGTCATGGCATAACATGACATCTTACGAATGAAAACTCTCAGGCTGAAGATTATTCAGTTACTTGTACGATTCAAATTCAGATAACATCGAACTCAGTAAAATGAAGTTTTTTAGGTCGGTGTTATTTTTATGTTAGATTTCAATGCATAAATCGAACATTTATGGATTTAAGAAAGTCAATATGGCAGCTCACACCTTAGTTGTGACATGTCAATTGTGTATTTGATTGTGAATAGCCTATGAACAAAATTTGTTAATTAAAAATTGCAAATCTTTGGCTTAAGAACTATAAGGATTAAACACATTTTTTCTAGAGGTTATTGATGTGTAAACTGGGTCGCTTACTCACACACTTTACATAAAAGTCCTTCAGACTTTTATTCAGTTTGTGAGTTCATCGCCCATTTAAATATCAATAACCTCTTGAAAAAATATGTTTAATCCTATAAAAATAAGCAATTGATTTCAAACAACAAAGTATTGACAGAGTCATATATAATATAGAGGTTGGAGACAACCCGCCAAATGGGAAACTATAATTCCCAAAATGAGTAACAATCCCTCAATTGAGTAATCATTTGATAGTGCTAAAAACAAAATTTTCTTTTTACTTTAAAATGGCATAAATTTAAAGAAAATGGAACAACTTCTTAAAGAACCATATTTTTATTTTGGATTTTAAAAACTTAAGCCTTGAAAATTGTCAATTTTACAAAGTTTTCAAAGGCTTGTAACTCCTTAGTAAACCAGGTTATAGAGCTATTCATCTGCTAGAAGTTTGCTGCATTTTTCATGAATATGTACCAGTTCAAGTATAAAATATGTATAAAATTAAAAAGTTTTTTTTACCCTAGACAAGTATCACTCATTTGAGAAATACATTGTTAATCATTTAGGGAACCATTCGCCATATGGCAGGTTGTGTCTCCAACTTGATAAAGCAATGACCATGATGACTGCTATTATCATGATTCAAAGAAAAACAAACTTACCATTTGACCAGAATATCTGAGGCTTTCCATTCTGGGCCTTAAAGTTTAATAGCCTGAAAAATAAAATAAAACTTACAAAACCATGACTAGTACAATAACAGGATGACATGAAACAGTTGAACTAACATGTACATCTTGTGTATGTACAAATGTATATACAGTATTATTTCAAATTGAATCATTCAATTGTCATTAACAGTCTATTGTCCCTGCTAGTGTTATCCCAATTGCAACGCACAGAAAAGAGGGTGAACATTGTAGTGTACACCAGATTTGCTTTCATTTGGCTGATAATTGTCATGTAAACAAAACTATATTTGATGTCCCTGGACATCACCCTTTTATTTCTAAAAGTTGCAATTAAAATAAATATAAGTCCAACAAACAAAAGTAACTGGTAAAAAATGTAAACTCACTGCAATTGATTGAGATCATATATATTTAACACAAAAAAAATGAAGAACGAGATATTTAAGTGCAAGACAAATAGCATTCTCTAATTTTTTATGCATTTCAATCAGGCACGGTGATTAAATCAGTATGTATCATCTTGTATCTTTAAATTTGCTCAGTTTTATCAAACAGCAAAAATGTGAACCAATACATGTACATGCCTAATATGTGAATATACCATCAATGAAAAGAATGCTAAAATATTGCTGGTACATGTACCTTGAGTATTCTTTACTTTACCTTCTCTAACATATTAAGTCAATGTTTCACCATCGTGCAAATTAATCCTTAAAATTATGTTCTACTTTTTAAATTTGCAATCAAGATGGTTTCATACAAAAAGCTTTTTCATATTTTCATTGATTTTATGCCATTCCTTTTTCACATCATCCAATATACATACATAATTTTCAACACCACATGTAACTTATTATCGACTTATCATAGGAAAAGTTTTATTCATGTGAGAATTTTTAAAATTAATTATTCAGAATTGTCAAATGAAAACTGAATGATAAATAAGGTAGAACCAACTTCTTCCAAACCATACAGATGGATCAAACTGTGTTCAAATGGTTTCATAAATAAGTTTTGGTTAAAAAGTATCTATTTTAAAAGAGTAACATTATCTGTGATACCAAAACTTCCTTTTCTACAGTTTATATGATGTTGATTTCAATTACAAAATTCTAAATACACAATGTCTTTCTATGGAACATTGTTAACAGAATGAGGACAATGTATTGTAATTGGACTAAGATATACCGAACACATACATGTAGAAAATTTTCGTTAGCTACAGTAAACCCCCCATTGACAGAAACAAGTGCCTGCGTTTTAACAACACCTGTTGAATATTTTTGGCATTAAGCTAGCTGAAGAACATCGCTCTAAAGAATAATACCAGTGGAAATATAATTTGTCCAATTTTTGTGCAAAAGTTAACTTAGGGTCGGCCAGGGTATCATTAAAAAATTATTTTTGGGGGCCTAAACTGAAAAACATTATTTTCAAAGCAAGATTTTATCTTTAGTTTTTCACAAGCAAAGTAGAGAAAAATTACGTCAGAGAGAAAACTCTATGGCAGACTCAGAAGCTATAGAATTAAATATTTTACAATATGGATCTCTAACTACCACTAAAGATGGTATCGGGTCCATTCGCGCCCAATACACGTTCGTACCCCACACATTCGCCCCCCAGGTCCGTTCGCACCCTTTTTTTTATTCAAAAACCTGATGATTTTTTCGGGAATTTTTAAATGAAATATTGTTTTAAATTGATTTGATGATTAATTATTAAATGTTAATTATGTATGATTACTGCTAATTGGTATTTATACACAGCCTAATTAGGGACATTTTATTTTTTACCTGGGAGGGGGGGCTGGTCATTTTGAAATCAAAAATACAAAATTTCTTGTCCCCCTCCCCATATTATTTCACTATTTTTATTTGATCCCCCCTCTATTAAACATGCCAAAATTTTAACATGCAAAACACTTATCAGTTTATTTCACGAACATATTGAAAATGAAATATTCTCAGTGGATTGAGTCCAAAAACATATTTGAGGGAAAAATTCCTTGAAATAGGGCTCTTCCATGAATATAAGTAGTTGAACAAGCCAGTGCTTTGAGTAGCTTATTCTGACTTTTTTTCTAATTTCCTACATTGGGCTATTCAAGAAAACTTGATCCTAAGTAACTCTGTAAAAATTCACATTATAAAGTAAACTTTTCGACACAAAATGGCAGCTTCCTACATCACCTAAGTCTTGTGATGTCTCACTTAATTGTATGTGAATGGTGTTAAAGGTATATTTTCGATTTGACTGTTTTATAATGTTCTCGATATTTTGACTCTTGAAGTATATGAACTACTAATTTCCATGTGCAAAAAATATTGATCCCCCACTTTGAATTTATAAAAAATTTGAACCCCCCTTTTCCACATACAGAAAAAAACTTGATCCCCCCTGCATTTTGACCAGCCCCCCCCCCCCCCCCCTCCCAGATATAAAAAAATGATAAGTCCCTTATTCAACACAAAAATAAAATACTGGTCGTCAGAATCTCACTTTATTTAAAAGTTGTCCTTTTATGTATGTATTAGATGTTTGTTTTAATGATAGTGTCTCATAAGTCGTTTTCGGCTGGCAACCTTATGCATAATGGATGGTGACACTTTAACAAAATAAATCTTATTTTATCTTATCTTATCTTTAAAAACAATGAAAAAAAAATGTTTATAGCAATACATTTACCATGACACAAAAAAAAACTTGTCAGAATCTCACTTTATTTAGAAACAATGAAAAAATATATATTTATAGCAATACACTTACCAAAACTCTTTTACAAATTATTAAACACAAAACCAATAAAAATTGGGCGCGAACGTGTAGGGTGCGAACGTGCATGGGGGCGAACGTGATTGGGCGCGAACGGACCCAGATTCACTAAAGATATGGTGCATGTGTATTTTTCAAAATATTAAAAGATTCTGAAAGTGAAATATGTCTACTTTTATATCAGTTTTCTGATGTGTTGATACACGGTGAACTCCCTTTCAAAATCAGTTCATGACACCATGTACAGGAAGAACTGGCAAACAATATGTTTACGATATTTAAATAGGAATGAACATGTAATTTTTATGTCAGTAGTTGTATAGTAAAAAAGGTTAAGTAAATCTGTAAAAACTACATTTTGCGGAGCACTGCCACTGACAGCAGTTCTGTATATTAAATGTTATTAAATCGTATTACCCGTAATTCATACTGCTTTCAAACCGTCCACCTTTTACATTGCGCGTTTGCTTATCAATTCATAAAAACTTCAAAGTTGTTTACAAGTTGTTTTGGCTTCCCTTGTCGCCAGGAATTCGAGATTTCGACATGCGCAAACTTGTTTCCGCGGTGGCGATCAACCGGAAATTTCCAAAATACGGGTTTTGATCCATTCCCACAAAAAGCATGGCCCATTTTAATACAGGTCACGTGAAATACCACAAAAATATGAGAAAGAGACAACGGTCAAGATATATAAAAGATTATTTCTAACTACAGGCAGAGACGGATCAACTGAACTTGGCGACCACAATACTTGTATACTAGTATTGTCAACAATACTCGTATATAATTAATGTACAAGTATTGTATACGAGTATTGTCATAGTATTGTTTATATAAAATATAAATACATTGAAAGAGAGTATAATTATTACTGCCTTTATTCAAAAGTAATGTTATCACTGGTAATGATTTGAAAAATATGTGTAATTTATTGTGTATTAATTCTGGGACTATTATACTGTTAGTATAGTTTTTGTTATCATGAATGAATAAAAGTATAAAGCAACATATAGTCTCAATTTTTATATCTGCCTAAATGCATTAGAACAAAACAAAAAAAACACCAACAAGTTGTTAATAAGACACATCAATGAATAATAGCAAACCCAAAATAGTATTGTCATTATAGTATTGTTTATTACATTTTTGATTTTTGAAATTTTTTGTACAATACTTGTTCATTAATTATATACGAGTATTGTTGACAATACTAGTATACAAGTATTGTGGTCGCCAAGTTCAGTTGATCCGCAGAGACATATATACTAAATATATATGTCTCTGCTACAGGGGAATAAAAGTGCATTCATCTCATATTATCACAGAGGGACGAAAGATACCAGAGGGACAGTCAAACTCATAACGTGAGGGTACCCAAATTGCACCTATTTTCACAGTTTTTTCACCTACGTTTTTTCATGATCCAGACAAAAGTTTCCATTCTGTGTTTATTTTGTAGACCTAACCTTACTTACTATATGGTTACACCAATTTAATTTTGAATCCATATTGAATCATAGAAAAATGAATTTGAACCGACCTTTAAACAATCCATATGGTTCTGTAATGAGGACGGTACCCAAATTGCATCCATGCTTAAATTCACATCCTTAAAACTCGAATAACAGATGTTTTGTTTTATCTCTTCAAATATTTAGAACAATTTGACATTAGTCCATGCTTAGTATTCATTTTTTAAGAAATATATTCTTGTAACATATTTTATTCGCTAATTTTTGAAAAATGACTTTTTGTGAACGTCGCATGGCGACGTTTCCGTAAATTTTTATTTTTTCCAGTGAATACTTCATCTGTTGATATATACTGTGAACGTTGTGTGTATATTTGAATATATTAACCTATGTTGAAAAACGTATAATGTCAAATCATAAAAATACAAATTGTTTAATAGTCTCAAAACACACTTGTAAGATTTCCACAGCTATTTTTGTTGAATAGGTGCAATTTGGGTACTCGGTGCGATTTGGGTTCTGCGACGTTAGATCGAAAACAAACTAACAACGCCATGGCCAAAAATAAAGAGACAAACAGGCAAATAATAGTACAGATGACACAGCATAGAAAACTAAAGACTAAGCAACATGAACCCCACCAAAAACTGGGGGTGATCCTTATCAAATCTAACAGTGGTCAGTTAGAAAATTAGTATGACTATCTAACTATTCCAAATAATACAGAAAAGTAGCAAACAAGAAGGATCGACAACCTGAGGGTAATAGTAGCTGTTTAGTATGACTTATATGTCTTATTTTTATCAAAATTGTTAAATGTACTGATATTATTATTGAACAAGTTTGTTGTGTTTTTAAGGTACACGTGTTTATGGTATTTATAGATATAGATCTGTTTGATTGGATATGTAAAAGATATACGAGTAGAATTTCATGCACGGGTAGTAGGTAGTAGTTTAGGGAGCTACAATTTGATTTTTAGGTCCTGCATTTTTTTTTAATTATAATCTCTGTCCTGCCTTATAATTTTTCACTCTATTCGGTCCTACCTTTTTTTTTATTAGTTTATCCTGACTTTTTTTTTACATAAATTGTCATCCTGCCTTTTTTTTTGCGAAGTTGCTCATCCTACAGAGACAGACATTTTTCATTGGGATAAAATGAAATACATGTACGTGTATTTATTATCTCAATAAAAATTGCACTTGACTTTTGCAAGTGGCTACTCCCATGTGAGATTTATGTACTATATTTATAAATGTTGTATGTTCGAGTTTACGAATTAGAACATAAGACCTAAAATGTTAATATAATGTGACATTTCTCAAACAGGCGGAAACCCAATTGAAATAGAACAAAAGAATCGAAGCTCTTTGTTAGAGAAGGCGATAAATGCTTACTGTAACGTTTACTATCGTAACAAAAATTTTAAAAGTTAATAGAAACAAATAAAATGACAGTGTTCGGCTAAATTACGAAGTATTTTTTCATAAAAAACACCATTTGCATAAGTTTTCTATTTATCTATTACATAATTAAGCAGAACAATTAGATATCAAGTCGACGACATGGGTATCTATTCAGTTGGATCTAAAAAATGCATAACCTCCGATTTTTAAAATAAAATTACCACGGACGGAGAACATATCAATCTATTTGTTCCTTAATTTTCGTTTCTACCCTTCCATTATTTGACTCAAGAAAAAAATCCAAAAAATGGGTAACAATTGCATCGAAAAGAGAAAATCGAGTGCACCCTTTTATGTTAGGGCGTGTTTGAGTTGAATATTTTGTCTTGAAAACGTATAAAGCAAGAGTATTTGATACATCATATCGCTTCAGATTCTATCATTTTTATATATCAAGGCTACAGGTTGACTTTATAACATCAAAAATTCCCAGTACTAAAAAAATGAAGTATATGGGACAATAGTTTTAAGTTGACTGAATGCAGACAAAACATTAACTGATGCCCATTAGCTAGTAGATACATTTGTCTTTTAAAATACAACTGGCATATAAAGATCGTAATGGTGCTATGTGATAAATTTATTGGTTTCAAGAGCTAAATTGGCAGCGCGTCATCCCTACAATGGCTTCCATTTTTACGATTGTAAAAATGAACTGGCGTAATGGGGAGATAATTTTGACGAAGTAGAATCCTGACTGCAAAGGGGCAGTCAGGATTCTTCTTCGTCAAAATTATCTCCCCATAACGCCTACTAATTTTTATAATCGTAAAAATGGAAGCCATTGTAGTGATGACGCGCTGTCAATTTAGCTCTTGAAAACCGATCAATTTATCCACATAGTATCATTACGATCCTTATATGCCTGTTGTATTTTAAAAGACAAATGTATCGACTAGCTATTGAGCATCATTTAATGTACTTTTATGCATTTGGTCAACTTGAAACTATTGTCTGATCGGTTGTCAGGGGGAATTTTCGATAGTTCAAAAATATTTAAACAAATTCTAATTAAATATTTCGTTGAAGGGCAGACTAAAAATTTTCAGAGGTTGAAGACTAATTACCCTAGATAACACACACACAAAATGAAGTTTTTTTTTTAAGTTATGCATTTTTAAGATCCACTTGAAAAGTCTGTCGTCAAGTACTTTTAGTATAAATTTTTATTCGAACACACCTACTCTGTTGTTATGACTCATTAGAAAGGTATTTTACTTGACCCATATATTTCATTTTTTAGTAGTGTACATTTTTAATGTTATAATAACAACCTAGAGCCTAAATATATAAAAATAATAGAATCTGAAGCGAGATGATGTATCAAATATTTTTCTTTAATGCGTTTTCAAGACAGAATAGTCAGCTCAAACACGCCTGAACATAAAAAGGTGTAATCGAATTTCTCTTTTCGTTGAAATTATTGGCCATTCTGAGGATTTTTTCCAAAAAAACTGTCGCTTTAAAAATATCAATCTATTATCTTTCTTTGGGATTTTTTTCGGCGGAATTTTTGATTATCCACATGTATTTGCACCTACCACAATCGACTGTTTTGTGAAAATTTGTCTATAGTTTAAAAGTTTACAAATATCTCGAAGCTCCATCCATAATTTAAGTAAAAACACATACATAAGACGCATAAAATCCTAAATTAGGCACATTCATTAAACTTTTAAAGCACATAGAAACATGTAAGCAATTCAAATTTACCAAATAGGCCTTTTTTACCTTCTCTAACAAAGAGTTCCATTTCTGTTGTTTAATTTTAACTGGGTTTCTGCCTGGGCATTAGCTACGAGATATAAAAAAAATAAAATATGATTTTTTTGGTTCAATCATTAATGAAAGTGAAATAGTGAAATAATAATTCGCTTTTTTAACAGCCAGTTTGGTTCAGTTTAGTCAAAATAAGCAAAGAAACATCGCTAATGAATTATTCACTTGTAAGTGAATAATTCGACCTCATTGAATCCGTATTCATGAAAACTTTAATTGATCCCTATAGCTATAGATGGCTTACGCATGAACTAGGTGTGTTCAGTTATTAAATGGAAAAGAATATAAACCTTGGAAATGAAACAAGGGTAAACCATTTGGTTGACTGATTCGATCTAGAAAAACTCATTCTTATACAGGTAAAAACGATTATTAACATATTTTTTTAACCTATGATATGAAATCAAACACATCTAGAAAATTTCAATTGCACGAGTTCGCAATCTATTTATATCTATGTTTATATCGGGTTATATGACTGTTGGCAATCTTCGGAGGTCACCTCGATGGTTAATTAAATGGCATCTAGACTAAGATACACACGAAATGCTGATACATACGATCTATGCATCGTAAATTGGTTATTTCATACTTTTTATAATTGAGATATGCGTTTAAGTATGTTATAAGTCGAATGTAAGAATTTGAGTCAAATCGGTGAACCTGAATTTGACAGCTAATGCCCCTTTAATATGTAACACATGTAGAACAATAATGCATTGGTAATATTAAAGATTGATTGAGATGGTTGCCTTAAACACCAAGCAACCAATAATATATTACATTCATATTGAAGACTCTAGTGTGTTAATGAACACCGATATATTTGTTTCATGTCGTTCCAG